CCATACCATTCACTGTTATCTAGTTTCGTTCAAGTTTTTGTGTCTTCAATAATCCACTTGTCATCTACAAAGGCAAGAAGAAGACGCTGATTCAAAAAAAGCAACGCATAATGAATTCATATTCGATTATTTGAAGCATGTGCCACTTTGGCGTTGGATTATAAGAGATAAAATTTACAAATTGTTGTTGCCATTTTTTTTTTTTTTGCTTTGCATTGAGGATGATTTTGCAATAAAACTTACAAACCATTTGGCTAACCCTAAAACCAACAAAAATCTATAAAATTGTAATAACAATAAAAAAACTAGTGGAGACAAAAAGCTTATCAAATTAGCTATGCATAATTTTTGTTAGCAAAAATAAAAATATTTCCATGAAATTTATTTTTTTTATTACTTTGTTTCCAACAATAGTCTCCTGATTTTGTTTTGTTGTTGTTGTTGTTTTTTTATAAAACAAAATAATATAAATTCAATTAAGTGTATTTTAGCAACAGCTACTAGTTTCAAAACTAAGCCATTGTCATCATCAGCTGATATCGATTATCACATAATTAAAGTTGGTTTTGCTTTATGAAATTAAAAATGATTAATAGTCTTAGTATTTCCTTAATATATATTGATACGTAAATCGATCTCAGCGAAGGACCATGGCCAAGTAAAAATGTTTCAAAAAATTATATAATAAATTATGTTTTGTCTAGTTTCCACTAGAAGGCAGTGAATTTATTTAAATATCAAAATAAATATTAATAATGGATATATAAACGATATATGTGAGAGAACAATTTGCAAAGATTTTTAAGCTCTTTACACTTTCTGATTACCCACATTTACATATAATATTAAATGTATATACACTGCATATTATATGTAAATGACATAAGAACATATCATATAAACAAATTTAAATACTCATGTACCTTCCCATGACTATGGAAACAATCAGCATAATCTTAACTTCATTTAAGAATATATCTGTGTAGGCACCATAATAGAAATACTTATTATTTAAAAAATTACACTTGATCTATACAAGGACATTCACACGCACTAACACGGCATAATGAAAACTTTTTTTTGTAGATATTGAAAAAAACACAACTCCCCCTTATTTAGAAGTCACAGAGAATTTAGCTTAAAGCTATGGCATTCAAAGTCAAAAACACACCCAACATTTTATTTTCGTTTTCAAAATTAATTTACATGTCTTTCATTTCAAAAAGTAATCAATCACAGGCGAGAATTGATGCAGACACACACTAGGGTTATGACTTTTTGACTTTTTTCTCAAAACGATATAAAATAGAAGAGATGAATTTAATTACTAAAAAGCCACTTTGAAATTATTTTTTTGTAAAACAAAAATCATTTTTATTTTTATATATTTTTAAATCATACAAACCCAAAACAGAAAATTTATAAATTTTAAACAATTTTACGAAAAATGAGAAAATAAACTTTTGACGTTTTTATTTACAATTCAGTGTAGGTACCATATTTTGAATCGATTGCATTTCTTTGTATGTGATGCTGAAACCTTTTCGATATGTCATTTAGTGTGCCTTTAATAACAAATTCTTACAATTTCACTTTAATAAAATATTTTTTCAATAATTTTGGACCTGAGGTTTTCTATAGAATCGCCTAAGCATTATGATTTTATCTAATCGTATGTAAAAACCTATCAAAATATGTTGTATTGATACGAGATTGCAAAAAAGTCATTAGCCTAATATACATATGTTCGTGGGTATTTCTTCCCATTCTCTGCACGTATGAAATATTTCTTTTACCGATTTGTTTTGAAAACTGAGTTAATGCCTTCTTTGAAAAGAAAAAAAATTATTAGGAGAAAAACAACTTGTCACTACTTCTTCGGGCCATCGATCAGATTTAGATTTTACATTCGATGTGGCCAAATGTCATGCGTTTATTATGAACTGGTCCGGTACGCACGTATGTGAATAAGACTTGTAACACTTTTTGTTTTAATTTTTAAAGCAAGATTTCCAAACATTTGTCTATGTCAAAAACGTCAAGTGATTTGGTGATTAGTTTTGTTTTTGTCTTGGTTTCTTAAGATACTTGCCAAACAATGTTTGGTTTGTAGAAAACATAGAATGAGTGACTTAAGGAGAAGCTGATTGACCTATGGCTTGGCCAGAGGAGCAACAAAAACGTGATGTTTTTTTAATAAATAAAATAAATAAAAGTACATGAGTTTGGTGATAATGGTGGGGTGTAATGATGGATTCTTATTCAACGGGTATGAGAATTTGCAAAGGCTGTCTATCAAACCGTACTGCCTTTCAGAAACAAGTTCCACATACTTACCAGAAAAATAAAAAATATCTAAACATGATGCCCATGGTAATTTTGACATTATCTTTAGAATGTGGGCAGTACGAAACGAAAAAAACGTATTCTGACATTTGCAGAGGTCATTTGTGATGTTTTAATCTAACGGTTTTGTGTTTTGGTTAATTTCGGGTAATTAAAAACATATTTAACTTAAATAGCTTCCGCATTTATTTGGGAGCTGAGCGAAATCCATGATTCAAATATCACATTGCTTTTTATTAGTTCGCGGGGGGAAAGCCATCTATGTAACCTTAACCCATACATTCCATGGTATATGATATTATTGTGCGTCTGAGCAGAATCTCTAAACAAATTCACATACTCACACACATACACATGTCAATAACACATAACTGCTTTTAATTGCAACAAAATAACTAGTCAAAGCGTTGAGACTCGCCCTTTGCCAACAAAACAATACGAAACGTTGATGGTGTCTCATTTTAGCCACGAGACCCAGACACAAGAGACAAATCATCATCAAGAAGCTAAAAAAAACTACAAACAAAATCACACAATAACACACAATGTGACTAGCTTAGACCTACACTGTACGACTGTCAGTTTGTCAGTCAGTTGGTTAAGGCTGGCATTTAAAAAATAAAAACTTTAAACATTATTATGTGCGAAGACACTTGATGATGGTCCATGTTCCGAAGACCTGTACGCTTACAGCTTCTACAATAACTTTAGTATTGTTTGACACTTGATTAATGAAATAAAGCTGTCAAAAAAGCAATATTGAATAATTCGTTAAAAATTGCCCCCATAAAACAAAATTCTTTGTTTTTATTTTTTGTTAATAGTTTCAGTTTATTCGATTTATGTAGCTTAATCAAACGAGTTCGGGTTTCAAGGTATTTACATAACTGTAAATGCGATGGGAAAATATTTTTAAAAACTATTTCCTTTATGTTATTTACATTTAATATATACAATTTTATATAATGATTCCAGCTGAGAGATTTTTAAGATTTAAAAATTGATTAATTGTTTTCATACAATGGATTTTGATATTTACGTATGAATCAGCTGTTTTGCCTAAAAGTAGGCAACAGTATGTGAATCTGTAAACCTGATTAATATCAGCTGTTTTTCAATTAATTTTCACATCAAATTAATATGATGTAAACAAACTAAATATATTCGCTACATTTTATTTATTAACTTTTGTGTATTTTTGTTTCTTTCAAAAAGCTGAATACCGAACCTTATTTTGACACATTTTTATAATTGTTTTTAATGATTTTTTCTCTCATGGCATTGTGGTTAATGATTAAAGCACGGCTTGGCATTATGGCTTTTAAAAGTCTTTGAAGTACCAGTTTCAATTTTTCTGCTCAATTTAAAATTATTTTTCGAAAAGTTGTTATATGATGCCTCTCATTTTGTGCTTTTTTTGCAAATGTCGTTTACGCAAATGCGTTTTTGTATTTTTTGATGTTTTTTTCGAATAGTGCCAAGACAAGTCATGGCTGCAAAAAAATCAAATTAAAGAAACAAATTTGCATAATGTTCATTAAAATCTATACAAAGCAAATGCCACGATGTTTAATAGTACGATGAAGAGAAAAGACTTCAAAATGAAATTCGAGTGCATTTTGACATTTAGTAGATGAAACACAAATACACACACAGGTCTTTTATATATATATATATATATATGAACCGGATCTACAAACAATTTTTAATTGCTACGAAAAAGGTGACTAAAAATTAAATAAATAAAAGAATAACAAAACAAGGAGAAATATATTTTTTAACAAAAAAAAAATTGAAGAGAACAGTAATTTGTCATTTAAAAAATGGCATTGTTTTGCCAAAAAAGAAGAAAAAATAACTAAATATTTCCTATGTAGCTAAATGTTATTTATCTGCTAGCTGCCATCAAATATTGCCAACTTAGGTAAAAAGAACATGGCTGTTATGGTTTATTTGTTGTTTCGAAATTTATATATGTATATTTTTTATTAAATATCTAAGTAACATATCCACAATTCTGCACACTCTCTTTTTTTGATTTTATTTTAATTTATTATCATGCAAATTAGCAAATCACAAGCAATCCAGCCAACTAGTTCTAGAAATTGTTGGCGAAATAAACAGAGAAAAAAAGCTTTTAGAATTTCTTTCTTTGTGACAAAATCGATGGGAGAGAGAGAGCATGAAAAAAAAACAAATGTCTATAAAAAAATTCAAATTATATTTTGTTTGAATTTATTTTTATTAGATGACCTATACCCCCATATCTGGAATGTAGTTGTTTGTGTATTTTCTAATCAGAAAATTGGGAAGTAAATAAAAAAATATTATTATATCCTCAGATTCTCTGTCAATTAGATCACCGATTATCCAAAATAGGAGATTGATAAACTTTAAGAATATCATTTTATGAAAATTACCATAAAAGATTATTCGAATAATGTTCTGATATGCTATATCTGAAATGAACATAAAACCTAAGGTCATGACCACATGCCAAAGAAATTTCTGTTTTGTTTATTGGTTAAATGTAGCACATTGTAATAACTATTTTTAAAACTATTTTTTTTTTCCAATATTTAGTTTATATTTTTTTATTTTTCCTATATTTCAAATTAACAACTTTATTTTTATTCCTTTCATTTTTTTTTCAGGCCATCGCTTGCATTTTAGTGCAATGCGCAATATCTGTCAAATTAGATTCAGAAAATCGTCGTCTTATTCTTGATATTAAAGATCAAAAGACGACCAATAAGCAATATTATTCTTCCAACTTCGATACCAGTAAGTAGAATTTGTTCTTTTCTTGAATAATATTACACCCCCAAATACATATCAAAATAACCCAAATCCCTAATCCTATCCTTCTCATACAAAAAAAAAAAAAAATCATGTACAAAAATTTATTAATGTTCTTTTAGAAAAACAAAAGTAATTAGAAAAGAAAACTATTTTGTTGTGTCGTAGTTGTCATCTCTAACTTAGTTTGATGTTTTGTTTTCTATTTTTGTAGTAAATCATTTCATTAACCTTCCCTTTACCACCTAACCTATCATAAATCCCACTGAAATATTAATAACATCCAAATAGAAATATATATTTCTAATTGGATTCGTACACCAATTAGATTTTATTAACATTTTTTAATTTACAAAAAATCCAAAAAATATTAGATATTTATATTTTTTTAAACCAAATGTAGTTTCCTTTTGTTGCGTAAAACCAAATTGTGGAAAAGTTGTTAAAAAGTTGTTTGGTAGTAGTCAGTAGCTAGTTTTGAATTTCTTTAAACCCTTGTAGTTTTGTAGTATCCTTGGTAATTTGTTGTTGTTTTATTAAACAAAAAATCCTATCCCCTTTTGAAAACTATAATTTAAATTAAAATAATTCATAAAAAATATTTTTATTTCCTTATCAATATTTACATAACTCTGTAGCTTTACTACTAAAAAATCTAGCGGCAAAACAACAAATATTTACATAGCTGAATCGAACAAAAAATAAAAGTAAATAAATAAAAACGAAACCAAAAAATATGCCAAGCAACCGAAAAAATATTAAAATGAAAACAGCCACAAATACGCAAGCGCCAGCCAATTAAAATGCAGTAGTAATCAAAACTCAGTTATCGTAACGTAATCGTCCATCTCTAAACAGATCGCCACAGATCGTCTCGACTTGTAAATATTTTCCCCCTATCTACTCCCCACCACCACCACAAACAACCACCACCACCACAAACAAACCCCACCACTCTAAACCCTAAAACAGTATACAAGAAAAAACTATGCAAACAATCAAACAAACAAAATTTGCTAGTTACACCTCTTTATTCCTATTCCTCCTCCCACTCCTCCTCCTCCTCCTCCACCCACTTATCCTATACCTAATCTATTATCCTATAATCTTTTTTATTGTATGTATTTTTTGTATAATATGTAACCTGTATGTCAATGGAAGTTGTTAGTAGTACTCGTACATAAACAAAGCTTCGCATATTCATCCCTTATTCCTCTCCCAAAAGAAACCCCCAAAACCTACCTTACTCCTCCACCCAAAAACACCTTCTTACTACTCCCAACTTAACCCATCTATCAGTAAAATCCCAAAACAAAAAATACTTCTACATTAACAACAATACCGATCTATCCCCACCTCGACCCCTCTTCCAAAGACAAAAAAAAAAACAATGATGAAGAAGCAACCCCCTAATTGTAAAATCAAAACAATAGTATTTCCCCACTTCCCACAAATACCCAAAATATCCTGTGCTTTTCCTTATGCGAGCAGTGTCAGTGTTGTTGTACTTTCTTCCACTCTCTTCAGGCGTTAGGTCAGGGCAATTTAGGTTTATTGTACAATGAATATATTTGCTTTAGAATTTGTTTATGTGATTGTTCTCTTGACCTTACCTCCCTATCAAAACAACAAAAAAACCCTTTACAAACTTACCTAACTAAAGGCGCCTACCGCTACGGATATGACATCGGCAAGACTGGTAATTTCCATCACGAGACCCGAGGTCCTGATGGTGTCACATACGGCTGTTACGGTCACATTGATCCCTACAAAGTATTGCGTGCCACACACTATGTAGCCGATGCCCATGGCTATCGTACGGTCACACCTATGGAACCTGTCGTCACCTACCCACCCACCAATGACCCCAACGTCAAGAGTACTGGCGTGCTGCTACAATGGGATGAATTATATTTCCCCATTGGTTGTGGTAAATTTGAAGGCGGCGTCCGCCCAAATATTCCATTGATCTTTGTTGATAATGTAGGTGGTCCTTCAATCTCGCCCAAGCGAACCACAGAATTGAAAATTTTAACCCGTCATGTATTCTAGAAACCCGTTTCTCCCGGATTCTCAAGTTCTTCGAATTTGGTATTCAAGGGTGCCGATCAGAAGAGTCCTTCAATCCATAGATACGGCGTTGGCAATGGTGCCTTCCAGTTGGATGATGGTGCCTCCCGTTTGCAATCGCCTTCGAATCAAGTTGTTTCGGCATTGAAACCCGGAAGTTATAACAGCGGAAGCTACAGTGAGAGATTTTGAAATACCCGAAATATAACATTGAATGGAGCTAGAACATGGTTTGTTTGTGTGTTACAGATGGAGGTGGTTCACCAGCTGCCGTGCCCTATAATCATGTGGTTGGTGCCCAGGGAGGAAATGGTGGATTTGGTGGTAATGGCGGTAACGGTGGCTTCGGAGGTAATGGTGGTTTGGGTCCCAATGGTCCAAATGGACCCAACGGTCCTAAGGGACCCAAAGGTCCCAATGGTCCATTTGGCCCCAATGGCCCACCAGGTCCTCCTGGCTCAACTAGCATTGGCCCCAATGGACCACCAGGTCCTCCCGGCCCAACTGGCTTCGGAAAAGGATCGGGTTCGGGAACCCCAGGAAAACTTGGTCACAACGTGGGATTCGGCGGCGGATATTCTGGCAGTTTAGAAGGACAGGCATCGACCGGTTTTCCTGGGGCCATCGGATACACCCAAGGTTAGCATACACACAACATGTCTATAAAACAATCTCGCAAAATGGAGCTTGGACTACACTTAAAGAAATGTACATATTAAGCCGAAAGCAAACAAACGAACAATTTCTAAAAACGGACCCTTAGGCCTATATCGTATTAAATATAATTATTTTTAAGAATAATATGAAAACCAAAATTTGCTTTAAAGCTTGCCACCTGGAACCTGGATTACATAAAAACTAACTAACAATCCCAAAGATGTGCATTTAAGAAGCACCATATTCACAGACCTAAACCCTCAATCCCAAAACAATTTCCCAAAAACAAACATAAAACTCATTATTTTCCCGATACCCAACCTGTCCTTTTAAACCAACCAACAAACCAACCTATATTCCTTTTTATCCACCACAAATTTCCACATACACACACACCCACACTAACCTAACTAGCACCTAATCCGAAAATCAAAAAACAAATTCGAATCTAACCGCTGCCGGAACCACTATCACTGCCTATCCAACTAATTATCTACCAATATTGTTAATGCAAAGGCCCACAATGTACTCGACTTGTATGTATGTATTTATGTAATTGTGAATATATCTATCTATTGACGATGTGTGTATCCAAGCTCCAGTTACGAAACGTATTTGATCATAAGTTATTTTATATAATTGTATTTTTAAGATTTTGTTCTTTATTTTCAGCTTTTGAGAACAGAATTAAAAAGAACGAACATTTGTAAATGACGACGCACAGAAAATATTTTTATAGGGATCGTAATAGCACCTTAGGGGCCACATAACTCTGCCAGAGAATATATGTTAGGGATTTTCAAGGCACTGCATTTTTTTTTTGTTATTCTTCCTTTGCTCAAGCACACTCTTGCATAAGAATATTTACTCTCTATATCACTCTCTTTATCTTTTTTATTACATTTATATTTTCACATTTCTTATTTCTTTATCAAGCTATATATCAATTCGAAATATAATGCCGATGGTATAATGTTATTTGGGACTCTGTTCACTTTCCCCTTTTTATTTGAGGTCAATTTCCGTTTCCTTTCAATACATGGGAATCATGTGTTATATATTTTGTTGTTTTTTTTTTCTAATATTTTATTACAAAGCACTTGAGTCCCCCTGATATGCACACCCAACGAAAAAGAACACAGTATACTCATAAGCTTCTTCACCTACACTCAACACTCAATACCACGAACAAATGCACCACCACACTTGACAATTTTTGCACACAAGTACACAGAAAAAACACTCACCTTTCACTTGAATTTATCTATCTCCGTCACAAAAAACACCACCATTACTCTTTGGGAAAGAAACGCCCGGATTTGGTTATTTAACAAAACACCTTCCACACCTCTCTCATTCACTCCATCCCCTCACCAATAAGAAAACCATTCTAAAAGGTTTTCTGTTCCTACTAACAAATGGAAATTGTTTTTAATTTTGATTAATTTTTTTTTGGTTAAGCTTATGGTGTTGGGCTTATGCTTATTGCTTACTGTAAGTAATGGGTAACCAGTATTCAGTACATTTGTAGTTTAATGACAATAATGACGTTTAATTGTACTCCCGTTATTTTTCTTGTATAAACAAATAACCAATTATTTTAGTTGTTAGTTTAGTTCTAGAGTAACTTATTGTTGTAATTATTAGATTTGTAGTAGTATCGAGTAACCGATTACCCATAATTTTTATGAATGAAATTTTACTAATTCGTTTTTTTTTTCTATTGCCTATTATTTTTTTGTTTGTTGCCCTTCTTTAGATAATGGTAAATATGAAGATGGAAGATATAAAGGTAAGTTATCGAATTACCAAGTTAGATAGGATGGAAACTAATTCGATAAAGTTAATTTATTTTAGGCATTCAAGAGGGTAAATATTATCATGACAATTCTGGTAAATATGTTCACATTGAAGGACCTACTGGACCACCAGCACCACCATATGTGCACGTAACTGGCCCCGAAGGAGGTTATGGCGGTAACGGAGGTTTTGGCGGTGAAGGCGGACGTGGTGGTAATGGCGGCAAAGGCCCCGGCGGTCCTAAAGGACCCGGCGGCCCAAAGGGTCCCGGTGGACCTAAGGGTAAGTAAAGACTTGCATTTCCATTAAAGTTGCTAAAGCTAAACATTTTTTGAACTTCTGTAGGTCCTCCCGGACCAAATGGACCTCCAGGACCACCTGGACCACCTGGATCAACCAAACCAGGACCAAAAGGCCCCTATGGACCTCCAGGCCCACCCGGACCACCTGGCCCAACCGCACCAGGACCATATGGACCACCCGGACCACCTGGTCCAACCGCACCAGGACCATATGGACCACCCGGACCACCCGGACCAACTAATCCCGGCAGACCAGGACCCCCAGGGCCATACAATCCGGGCCCACCAGGACCTCCAGGGCCATCTCGTCCCGGCCTACCAGGCTCCGATCGTCCCGGCCCACCCGGACCACCAGGCAGGGAACCACCATATCCAGGCGGTGACAGAGGCTACCTACCACCCAAAAAAGATGATCCCCGGGAATCGACATACCAGAACAATGGCTACTTGCCACCAAAGGGTAAAGATCCACCAAATAATAAAAAATACGAATCATATTCTTTAAGCATTAATCCACCACCAACCACGGTGACTGTCAATAAGCAGACCGCTTTTGTGTCCAATTATACAGTCAGCAACAATGAAAGTACACAAAAGAAGGTCACAACCACATCCACATATACCACCAATACCAATACAAATACAAATAGCAATAAGTCAAATCAATATAATAGCAATATTAATGTCAATAGCAACAACAACAGCAACAATAGGAATCAAAACCAAAATAATTACGATGAGAAAAAATTCAATCAAGTACTAACCTATATTCCCCCTTCTTCTTCCACTCCCACTCCCACATCCTCCCAACAACAACAAAAAATCACGACCACTACCACCACCAACAAATTTATTGGCAACCCAAAGCTTCCGGACGTCGCAACTGAAAAGGACAATTACTATAAGACCCATACAACTACAACGACGTCGACGACAACAACAACAACAAATCAATCTCAAAATGGTAATAATAACAAGAAAGCAACAGGTTTGAATATTGAAAAGACCTCCTTTGGAACGAACGTTAACAAAGACCGTGACAGTAAAGTGACCGTGACAACGACAACTAACAATAACAACAACAAAGTTACCAGCGGCTATTTGCCACCACAAACTATTGGTTACGAAAAGGTTGTAAGCACCACCTCGGGAGGTGGTGGCGGCGGCAGTGGTGTCAACAAAATCACCACTACCACAACCACCACCAATACCAATACCTTTGGTGGCCAACCTTTCCAAAAAGTCACCGAAAAAGTCACTGGTAACTATGTGAGCAACAATGCCTATATCAATCGTACTCCTGAACAAAAAATCCCCACTCAAACCCAGACCTTCACTCCCACGGTGACTGTTAGCAAAACACCCACACAGACGCAGACACAAAAACAGACAATTACCAAGAACACTACGACAAAGACCCAGACTCAGACTCACCACGGTACTACTTATCAGCCACAACAGAATGTAACCTTCCATCCCACTCTTTCCCAGACAACAACCACAAATAATTGTCAATGCCAAGCTGATAAGGCTCATTCATCTACGACATCCTTCAACGCCAATAGCAATAGCAATCCCAGCAGTTCCTCTTTCAACTCCTTCAACAGCAATCAATTCCAACAGCAATTTACGACCGGTAACGGCTTCGCTGGTCAGGCTCACTTTGGCGGCATTATGAACTCGATGGCTTTTCTGCAACAAATCCCCGTTATACCTCAAGTGCCCGGTTACCCGGCCTTCTATGCTCCCGATAAAATCCCCAAGGGTGCCATAGTAGCATTTATGCCCGTAGTTATATTGCCCGAGGCAGCCTATGCCAATTGCCAAGAGAACTTGAATAAACAACAACAACAGCAACCATTTGATCCTTTGCCCTTGGGTGTCCAACCTGCCCCCTTCCCATTCGGTTCTAGTTTGAATTCCATATTCCCCGGTGGTGGTGCCAGAAAAGATCAGTGTATGTGTCCCTGTTCGTGTACACAGAATATACCCGATCACAGTCACAAAAAACGTGATACAGCCACTGCCGAGGATGAACCAAAACCTCTAGAAGAGGAAGACGAAGCACAGGCAATTGGTGCTGAAGCGAGCAATGTTGAGAAAGAGGTAGAAGTACCAGCATTAGTTGTTGAAAAGGATCTTCAGGAAAACGAACAGGTACAGTCGGCAACTGAGACAAAAGCTAACGATACGACAAACAGTGAAACGACCAATTGAACCGATCATTCTAGCTGAAGACGACGACAACAAACGACGTTTGAGTAAGGATTTCCCATATCCCCATCCCATCCCAGTCCTGTTCCCGTCTTCCTGTCCAGTGTATCCCCTCAACACCATCAATCACCCAAGAGTCCCGATACCGTTCCCGTCATGATCCTGTACCCAACATCCTGATCCTACCACTCCTACCTCCCAAATTCCCAGAGTTCCTGTTCTACTAACTCAAATGTAATCCGTAACAAGTATCGCACATTTGTTTTATGTTTTTTTTTTATTATTATTATTTTACATTCGCTCGCTTTGTATAAAATGTTCTCGTAAATAATCTTTTTTGTTTGTCATTTATTATTTTTTATTATTATATTTGTGTATAATTATTATTATTATTAATATTATAATTTGTTACTAAATCTAATAAGTATTCGAAGAAAACAAAAACAAAAAAATGCAACATGTATAACGAGAGACCAGCAACCATTTCCCCGGTCAGTATCAACGAAGGAGATTAAGTCTATCCCACAACTGCATCTTTCTCTCTGTCTAATATCGTATTTAGAAATGTCCAATGTTGTTCATTATTGTCTACGTAATTGTATTTTTAAATAATTTTTATTTTTTATTTTTGTGTTATTATCATTACCATTTTTTTTTAATTTCTAGTTAATAGTTTTTATTTAAAACAAAACAAAAAACTACTTCATTATTAATGAAATCGCAACGTATTTTTTGTTAATTTAAAGAAACGAAACTCTCATTTCTTATAAAACGAAAAACTTAAAAATACAAAAAATAAAATTGTTCAAAAAATTAAAAAAAAACAATTGTTTATTTATTTGACATGAGTAGGGGAGACTGGGGCATCTTCGTCATCGGGACACCATCGGCAATGACGTTTTCGGTATGAAGCTTTCATTGTACATCACTAGATTTGATCCATAGGTAGTAGTTAATTAAATGTAAAAATAATTTAAAATAATAAAATAATTTAATTAATAATGTTTCTTAGAAGATTGATAGAAAAAGTATAGAAAGTACCTTCGGGGTAGTTTCGGCATTTTGAAGTGGGGACATTCGGCCATATACAGATATGGCTATATTATTTCCTTAAAATGTTTTTGAGTTTGTCTTTAGCAATAATCATTAAGGGGATGACCAAACGTGCTTGTATTAACGAATATGCCATAGAAAAAAGCTATTTCTGATCGTGTAATGTTACCTTGAGATCATGGTACAATTACAAAAGGTAACAGCAAATCCCAGCTGATTTGATTCCAACGTAATACTAGTGTCAACATGAATTTGACAAATTATGTTTTGCGGAAAATTGGCGGCAATTTGAAATTGTTCTTTATTAAATGTTCTCCCGTATTCAATTTACTCAATCTGCCTGCTGGGAAAATTTGAGGAATCAAATCTTTCTTCGTGGAATAACACATATAAGTGGCAATGGCTTAATTATACGAAAGATGTGGAAGCGATAAAAATATAAATTGATAGATTTTCATTCAAGTTTTTCAAATTTTATTTTGAGGTTTCGAAAATATTTCATTTTAAAAATAAATACAATTTGTTTGATTGTTTACATTTTTCTGTCAAATGACGGTGACACTAGCATAACTTACAACAACAAATTTCCATGTGGTTGTTGTATCGTTTGTTATACAACAACACTTGCTGTTACCTTCTAATATTATACCATGCCTTGAGATATCAACGTCCGTGCTAGAAAATATTGCCTTGAAAGTAAAATTTTGAGTCGCATATTAAAACAAAATAGAACCTTTAGAGGATCTGAATACTTAATTACTGGTAGCGGTGATAATCACCAGATCATGACTATGGTGCCGAATGTGCCCCATCATATGCCGAAGCTACAGCGGGATTTTCGGATTTCGGAAAATTGGACGAATTTGACTTTTTTCTAAAACTGTAAAAATGTTTAAATAATACTAATTTATTATATGTTTTGGAACTAGTTTTTAAAATTAAGTATCAGCGGACAATAATCAGCCATAAAGTTTTGATATCTGTTGAATAAGTACTGAGATATGGAGCTCTAAAAAAGTGCCGAATGGCCACTAGTCTCCCCGTAGGGTTTACTTTTAATTGTAACTGTAATATTTCCAGTGGATATTCCATTCAGAGGAAATTTTCTCCTGTTTCAAAAGGTATGTACAGTCTACGCTCGGGATAACTTATGGCATAATCAAAAAATTCGTTATATGTATATAACTACTCGATGCTTTGGATAAATTTCGAATCAGAAAATGGAATTTGAGAAAATATCGATATAGCACAACATAATTTTAGCAATTTAATTTATGAAACCTTTCGAATTGATGGTCGACATTTTTTGTTAGATGAACTGAATGCCAATACCCAAGCGTATTTATCTGAGCAATATATGGAAGTTCTCTTTTCTAAATCCTTTAATTTTCCATTGCATATTTAAAAACATGTCTCTGCGATAATCAACAAATTTGTTGAATTCAAAACGCTTATCCCGATTGTTCAAAGCATATTATATACATACATATTATTATTCTTTTTTTAACAACAACAGCAAACAGAGATAAAAGCGTCATGGCATTTGTTATTAAAATTGTTTTATCCTGCCGGTGAATAAAAAAACACTAAAATTTTGAACATTACCCACAGGCATTTTTTTTTTTTTTTTTTTTTGGGACGCCGTCGTGTTTGTTTAAATATTTGCGTGTGTCCTTGAAACAGTACATTCCTGCTTTTCGTTGGTGTTGTTGTCATGTTCATACTGTCTGTGTAACATGTCGCCGACATCGTTGTGTGATATCTTTGTGAGCTACATGAATTTAAATTTGCTTTTAATGCTTTTAAATGTGCTATCTCTATTAAAGCATTTTGAAAAAAATTGCACATCGCTTTAAAAAAGGGTACTTCTGATAACAATTCGTTGTTGACATAAAAAGTTAAATCCTGAAATAAATTGAAAATATTTACAAACGTAGCATTAAAAAGACATTATGCCATAAAAAGGTGTAATGTTGGTGTATGTGCATGTAATTTTATACTGTGAATTGAATTTTGTGTCGATTTCCGTGTAATTTCCTTTGTCCCTTGATGTTGTTTAATGAATGTGGTAAGACAAACGCTTCTATTGATGACAGCCCTATTTCGTAAATACGCTATGCCTAAAAGTATGCTTTATTCTAATCACGTTCAAAACATGCATTGCATACAGTTGATTACAAAATATATTAAATGACCATTCAACAACAAGTTCCCACAAGTTTGAGTTCCATAATGGTGGACATTGTGTAGTCCACGCCTACCTGGAGAGCTGATCAAATTTATTACACATGTGAGTCGTTTATAATATTTTTTTTTATTCCGTTTGCAAGACCTCTAATTATTCTTGTCCTAAAATAAGAGTTATTGAAATTCACGTGTACCATATCCAATTTGGAATTTATTTATTTATAATGTCCATCCGTCTCTCTGCACAGTTTTGAAATAATATGCGAACGGATTATTCGACTTGAACCAAACTTTGCACAACCTAAAATTTTTACCAATCTTCTATATTGTTTGAAAGAATGAAATTATCGGCGACCTCCTTCTCCCCCACGAAGGATCCATATTTCTTAATCCAATAACAATCGTATGGAATGTGCGATTTGACTCAAACTCAGCACATCATAGTATTGTTAACAAACACTTAATCTCAGTCCGAAGTTGTGACGAGGCACATTTTTGTTGTAGCAAAGTGTATATACCCTCATTAGGCATAATGCTGAAGCTATGAAGTTATGAGAAATCTACAAATACATGATTTTTTTGCAGCATGTTGCCCTGGCTCATCATCAGAGCTATGAGAGCTATCTATTAATGGACATGATTCAAATATGCAATTGCTGAAATTAGTTAGTTTTGCCATATTTCAGATAGTTTAAAACTTTTGAAAATATATTTTTATGATATTGGAGCCATATGACAGGTAGAAAGATCGAAATTCTCCCAATGCATTCAAATATCTCATTTATAAAATATTTGTTAAATTTTTCATGTTATTTTTTTTAATAATTTAAAATCTATGGCAAAATGAAGACGATTTAACATTTCATATGACATATTTTTGTCGATTATAGTTTAGTTTGTTAAGAAGTAATAAGCACTTAAAAATATGTTTAAAAAAAAATCTACGTCAGTTTACTACATTACAGTGGATTTTTTATTTCAATCACCCAACACCGTCGTGGATTCAGCCTTTTTGCTACGACAAAAATGTGCCTCACCGAAATATTGGTTTTAGAACCCATGTTTCTTTTGACCAAGTCCGTTTCAGACAATTTTGTGTCGGTTTACAAATATCCGTGCGTCTGTCTGGCTGTTGCGCATGATAACTCTCGAAGACAGTAACTGATATAATCCAAATTTTCCACAACATAATATTTTTTCCAAATCATGTTCGAAGATAGGACCCATCGGTCCTCCCCTACTGGTACTTCCCCCACAAATGTGGACCACATTTTAAAAACGGGTAATTGGAATTTGAAGCGAATTGAATAGCCATTTGATTACAGGAGGTGATGCAAATCTGGTATACCCATTTGTTTTTAGATTGCCAAATTTTTATTTTTTATCCGATTAAATTGAAATTTTACACTTAACATGCTACATGTGTTGTCTCTCCACGTATCAAATAATATTATTCTAACAATTTAAGAGATATTTGAGAAAATATTTGAAATTCCATTAAAAGTGATTTTAAAAAAGTGCAGGTAATGTGGTATACCCTATGATGTTAATGTGGTATAGTATAATTTTCACTTCCAATTTGATATCTTATATAATTTATTGTTTTTAATGAATGTGAATTAACTCGAGATTTATGTTTGTTAAGATTTTAACGGATAAGTTGAGTGGAACTTTATTTTTTATTATATGATAATGTCTGTACATGGAAATATTTAATTTTTGTATGGAGTAGTTGTTAAAACTCATATCCTTTGTTTTTCATC